TTAGCTCTATACTTCGGTATATCGAGCACTCTACTCATATATGATTCTAAATACATTTTGGTATATATATATATATAGGTATATATATATATATACGCAGAGTAATTGAGATACAATAGCGCGCTGAAGTTCGATTTCCTTTTTTTTATACACCCTGTATATATATATATATGTATATATATATATATATATATATATATATATATATATATATATATATATATATATATATATATATATATATAAAAACAAACGAGCTTCATCGTATTCAGCAGCTCGTAAAACGAGCTTCATCGTATTCAGCAGGTGGAAAACACTGCAGTTTGTGCACCGAAGAAAAACTGTGCCTTTTAAAGGCAAACAGAACCCTTAATAGAAGATCGGAAATATTCGCGAAGTGCCGCCACGCAGAGAAATTCCACGCGGGAAAATTTGAGAGCGTGCGCGACCAACGAACGCATGCGTCAGCAAACCGTTAGTGAGTAGCGTCAACAAACAAAACTGAACTTACTTGTAATAACAGTTGCCTGAAGATTGCGAAATTGCATGAAACTCTGAGTAGCAACATATACCATTTTTAAGATTAAATAAATATATATATATGTATATATATATATATATATATATATATATATATATATATATATATATATATATATATATATATATATATATATATATATACAAAAAACCACAACAGTCTGTTTCATCCGCATAGGAATCATCATGCAGGTGGTGAGTAATTTCGAAAATGTAGGTTGCTTTTATGCTATCGAAAGAATGCGCGGAATGCGTGTAGGCGAAACAATGCTTAGGCAAAACAATTGATGCTTATAGGCGAAATAGTGCATAGGCGAAACAATGCTTGGGTTTGTTGTCGCAGTTACAATTGTCAGTTTCCGTATTCTGTGATTGGCTGTTCCTAATTATATGTGCGTTGTGTTTGGTGATTATAGACTTAACGTTGTTCATGCAACTATAGCTTATTTTTGGTTGCATGAACAACAACGTTAATTCGAACAATAATATTATATATTTTATTTTGCAGGAATAATTCCAACAGCACTGGAAATTATAAAGAATGTATCCAACCTTACATTCAGTTATGAGGATGCCTCAGATAATACCGAACAGTTGAAGAAAACGTTAATTGGGAATAGTTATAGGATTAAAGGGAATCAGCTCATTTTTCCATGTCTGTCAATGAACACGAAGAAGTATGTCGAATTTCATTTAATTTTTAAACCGGCATTAACTAAACCTCTTGAATTAGAAGATACAGTAAGTGAAACGAGTGAACTGTTCGCCATGCATCTTGAATAAAATTTGACTCTCATTAAAGTTGGTATTCTAGATATCAAAACCAAGAAGATAACCCGCACTAAAACAACGTATCGTCGACAAACTAACAATTAGTTTCGGACTAAATACTAGAGACGGAGACCCTATTAGCTATATACAATGGCAAATTTAAATAAGACCTGGTATATTATGGTTCTTTTTAGCCTCTTCTATAACATATCTCAAAGGCTATTGTACACGAGATTTGCGTGTGCTATTTACTCCAGCATGTTCATCATTTGCGTCATGCAGCATTTATAGGCCCCAGTTACACGATAGCTACCAGATTACTTTTCATATTTTCCAAACTGTTTGATACAAAATAACGTTTTGGTTACATGATATCATATTTGGATCACAATACAATCACAAAAGCTTGCGAGTTTCTCACGTACGTGGGCTTGAAGGCAACCAGGGGCGTAAGAAGCATCAAAAGATTGGGGGCACCAGCTTCTAGGGGCACTTTAGGGTATTGAAAAGGGCACCTAAAAAAAATGTTGGCGACGGTCATGGGGGTGGGGGTGGGGGGGGGAGAAAAATTTTCCCGTCGTACCATAACGAAATTGCACGTTTTTGACCAAATTTTTAAAAAAAAACTTGGAAATATCCAAACAAAAAGGGCACCTTTAATGTTAATTTACTATTTACTGAGATTAGCTTGTACAAAAATGGCACTTTTCATCACAAAAAAGGGCACTTTTCATCATAAGAAAGGGCACTTTTAGTCCTTTAATCCGGTTCCTACGCCACTGAAGGCAACAACGAGATTTTATAGAACATTTAATTGTTTATAATACTTCTTTTTTTATAAAAGTCCAGTTTCACCGATTATCTTTTTGAAAACAAAATAACCTTCGCAGAATCAACGAAAGAAGTCCAAATATATTAACAGCATCATACTCAACACAGGAAGTGTAAAGTTAAAGAAAAATAGCAAGCGAAAATTATGTCAGTTGCATAATTAGAAAAAATGTTAAGATTATTACAAATCTATTTGACAAATTCTCCCAAACAGTCTTAGTTTTTGAGTCGTCTGAGACTTGAATATCCTGCCATCCGCCATCTTATTTTATAATTAGATCAGTAATTAAATGACGTCACGAGCAGGGTAGAGCTTTCAAAAATAAAAAATATCATTAGTGGAAAGTCGGTGCTTTAATTTTAAAATAGGCAAAATAGTAAAAAATAGGATACTCAATAATGTACCGTGGTTGTGACGTCACGCATATCCGACGATGGATATGCTATCCAAGATGGTGGAATGCATAATGATCTTTTTATTCTCCAAGAACGACATAGAAAATCCGTAAAAAGGTTATGAAATCTATTGAATCTCTCTTTCAAATCGGAGAAATTTAATTGTATTACTATTTCTTTTCAAATTATCAAAAAAATAGATTCAATGTTTCTTAAAATTGTTAAAACTTTGTGAAAGTAGAATAACGATCTCGAATGGATTGGGTTCGACCAATGGAACGTGCCGAAAATATTTGTGCCAAAATAATGTTCATATCAATTCTAGAGCGAATGTTTTTACGCTGATTGGTATATACAGGATTAATTTCCATAGTATATCGTGTATATCTGACGGATCGTATATATCTGATGTGGAAAGTAATTCGCTCTTGGGCTTAGTCCTATTTCTCAGATCAATGTTGGACCTTTTTTGTAAAGGTTTGATGACGATGATGATGATAAAGATGATCGTAAGAGTGACGAGAATAAACTGTGTGGTAGAGGAAAACCTTGCCCCGTGAAGGTCACAGATAGTTATGGTCCTGTTTTCTTGACGAAGCACAGAGCGATTAATCCGATATATTTAATTTTATATGCTCTCAAAAAAGTTTGGAAAGCCACGGTGGTTACCTTTCTCCTGGCAGGTCTGGCCGGAATTGTTTTATGGAGAGCAGTAAGTATAGATTACTTTTTTATTATATTTAAGAGCAGTGAGTATAGATTATATTTAACCAGGGACGTGCTGGCTAGGGACGAGCGGACGAGAACTTGTTGTGCGCCCCTGCCATCATGGGCCCCTAAAATTAAAACATTGGAAAAGATAAAAAATACAGATTTTAATTTTGAAAATCAAGATTAAAATATTGCAATTTATATTTTAAAAATCTAAATTTACGAAAATATTACCGAAAAAGTTTACAAATGACGGTACATTAACTCGAAAGTTACTGAAAAATGGTATATCTGGAGATTTTTTAACTTTACACACACACACACACACACACACACACACACACACACACACACACACACACACACACACACACACACACACACACACACACACACACACACACACACACACACACACACATGCTCGCCAACAATTTCTGGGGGGGAAAGATTAATTAGCAACTGAAATATTTCATGTTTGATCAGTAATACCCCCACCCCAATCTTGATCCATCCGTCACTGGGTCTGGGCCCCACCAGACGTTGCTCATTCGTCGTGCTTTTCAAGACCCCCAGCACGTCCCTGCATGTATTTAACTTCTTATACAAATAAGGAAGCACATAATCTTGGCCTTTAATTAATTGCTTCATATACAGTCCAGTCACTTAGGTCCTGAAATTGACAAGCCCGCATTGTGGAGAATTCTCAATGTATAGTGCAGGTCAACATTTTTTATCCCAAGGAAGTGCATGTGGGTTAGTTGATTGACTTTTACATTTGTTTTGGATATCGCGTTTGCTGCATCCTGACTCATCTTCGGTAGATACCGGTGTTAAGGCCTCTTTACCATATCCTAACGTACAGTACGTAGCTTTTTCTTTTGTGTCGAAGTATTTATTTAATTAGATCCACTCCATATAATGCTCACGAAACAATGAAATACGCTAAGCTTCGCTGCGACGCGGTTGAATTGTATGGAAAGGGACCAGGATAGTACATCGGCGTATAATAATGAATAATTAAAATATTACTCGAAAAAATCGCCAAAAACGTGCATTTTACTGTGCTCGCGTGTATCGGTCGGATCCCTGATGAAAATTACTGATATCACTTTGTAAAATGTATGTTGTTCCCTGCTTTTCTGCATAATTTCACAACAAATTTCTCAACTTCTTCCAACATGCGAGTATAATGTTGATATTTTACATTTAAACCCCCTGTCCATATGCCGTAAAACATTGCATACAAGAAGAAAGATCTCTTTCATATCCCATTATAATACTTGAAAGGTCGGTAAACATTACTTAATTCGTCTATTATCCACTTTAGTTAAACAAAATACTAAGCAAAATGTTTGTTTTAAGTTAAAACATGCTTTAGTTATATATAGGTATATATATAGGCCTATATGATTAACTTTTTATGAGAAAAACTGACATATTGTGGATACATGCATGCATGTCCTGAATTTCTAGCCGTGCTTATAAGTGTTTACAGGAATGACGAAACGAGCTGCTTCGAGCATTGGCTTTCATTCAGAGTTAGACTAATTTTCAACTGCAGAAATTATGCCCAATATCCTGATTATACGTGTTCTATATTCGTTTGAGCAAAATTAAAAATCACACTTTACATGCGCTCCGCGCAACCACCAACAATTTTTAATGCTTTAAAAAGGACCTAAAGCGCTACATTTTTTCAACTGGTAACTTCCTAAAGTTAAAGATTTGGCTCTCGGCGATATAATACAAAATGGCAAAACAGTACCATGCTTATATGTGCCTGAAAACCACAAGATCTATAACCCCTCTTTAATATTAATAATTTGACGTTAGGCTCATGTTCTTGTTTCACACATACATAGTTTAATTTTGAGGCGGTACTAACTTTTATAAGACTTTTCAGGCTTGCCAGTTGTATGAATTTTGTAACTGCATTCTCTGATAAGATCGCGAATTTTACGCGTTCTGAGGAGCCGGGTTATTAATAAATAAATAATAATTTATTAATTTATAAAGCGCTAAACACTATAAATATTCTAAAGCGCTATCATTACAAATTCAAATAAAATCTTATAAAGTATGAGATGATATCTATATATACATGTTTAAAATTTACTATTATATTTAAAGATAAAATGCATTTTTAAAAAAGAAAGGTCTTAAGTCTGTTTTTAAAAGTTTCCACTGTTGACGCCTCACGAATGTCAGCGGGAAGTTCAAATTTACTATTATATTTAAAGATAAAATGCCTTTTTAAAAAGAAAGGTCTTAAGTCTGCTTTTAAAAGTTTCCACTGTTGACGCCTCACGAAATTCAGCGGGAAGTTCAAATTTACTATTATATTTAAAGATAAAATGCCTTTTTAAAAAGAAAGGTCTTAAGTCTGCTTTTAAAAGTTTCCACTGTTGACGCTTCACGAATGTCAGCGGGAAGTTCATTCCACAAAAATGGACCAGCCTTGGCGAAAGCTCTGTCGCCAAACGTTTTCCTCATTGTCTTAGGAACTATTGGCAAATTTTGCTCATTCGAGCGCAGGCTGTAGCAACCAATATGCTTAGGTGTCAGAAGGTCTGAGATATAAGGCGGTGCATTAGCATGAAGAGCCTTGTACACCAGCAACAAAATCTTGAAAATCACCCGATACCGTACAGGAAGCCAATGAAGGCCAATCAAAACGGGAATAATATGATCGAATTTGGGGATTAGACAGACCACACGTGCTGCAGCATTGAGAACTCTTTGTAACCTATCATATTGAGACTGTGGGAGACCATAAAACAATGAGTTACAGTAGTCCAGGTGTGAAGTAACAAAAGCATGAACCAAAATCTTTGTTGTATCTTCTGAAAGGAATTTCCTTATCTGCCGGATATTATAGAGGCTGCGAAACGCCTTACTACACACTTTTCCAATGTGAATATCCATCGACATATGTGAATCAAACCACATTCCGAGGCTTTGAACC